TTATAGTTCCTGTAGAGGAATCTTCCCAGCTTAGTAGATTTAGGGTTTCTCTTATGCAAAACAAACCATCAAACAAGATCCTAATAGTTATGAAACTTAAATCTCGAAGTTTTCCTGTGAATAACATCTTGGCATGGAATTAGAAATCAGGAAGATCCTTAATTCTTGGAGAACAGAAGGTTATTAGATAGGCTTATGAACAAACTTGATATTTGGTAGTTTATCAATAAAACCCCTTGTAAACATTTCCAGAAAATAGCTAACAGGCACAGTGGCAATAGTTACATCAAGGAATTCACTTCTTTTAAAGAAAACTCTTTGTTGTAGTAAAGTTGTATATTTCTAAGTGATGCCAATAGTCAGTGGTAGATAATGTTAATAGTTTGTACTGGGGAATGAATCAATCATTCTGAACTTTGGATTGCAAAGGTTTATAGAATCACAGATTTAGAACTGGAAGGGATGTTAACCCCAAAGCTTAAATCTATACATTTATCAAACACAAGGTTTACAATTTACTACTGTGTATTATGTTTACTCTGTTCCACTGATCTACCTATTTCTTGGCCAGTACCAGATAGTTTTGATAATTAACATCTTATAATATAGTTTAAGATCTGGTACTACTAAACCTCTTTCCTTTATATTATTTTTAATTAATTCCTTTGATATTCTTGACCTTTTGTTCTTCAAATGAATTTATTATTTTTTTCTAACTCAATAAAATTTTTTAAATTGGGATGACATTGAAAAGTAGATTAGTTTAAATAGAATTGTCATTTTTATTATATCGACTCTGCCCATCCATGAACAATGGATATTTCTCCAATTATTTAAATCTGATTTTATTTGCATAAAAATGTTTTATAATTATGTTCGTGTAGTTCCTGGCTTTATGTTGGTAGACATACTCTCAGGTATTTTATAGTCTATAGTTATTTTAAATGGGATGTCTCTTACTATCTCTTCTTGCAGAGTTTTGTTGGTGATATATAGAAATATTGATGATTAATGTGGATTTATTTGAATCCTATAATGTTAAAGTTTGAAAACACCTAAGAAATTACCTAACCTTTTAAAGGTCAGGAAACTGAGGTTCAAAAAAAGGAGAAATGACTTGTCCAAGGTCACATAGCTAGTCAAGTTGGACAATTTTTTGTTATTACTAAAATTTTATCATTATCACCTCATTCTTCTCATATTATTTGATAAGGTTCAGATAGAAAGTTCTAAGGTAAATTGACATCCTGTTATTATTCCTTTATACTTAATGGTCTACAGATTGCACAGGTAGAGATAATAATTTTTCATAATTGAACAAAAGTATTGGGATGTTAAGCTCACTGAAAACATCCTTTATATGGCTCTAGTAGCAGATAGGACAATAGGGGTGATATGTACCTCAATGTATTTCCATGTGATTTTGATCTCTTCTACAAGGGCTTCATATTTTAAAGTATTTTCTTTCATGTAAATTAGAGGGGATGAAAATTTTATATGATTAATATCTATTACAATGTTTTTCTTTACTTTTGTGGACCAATGGTATATTTGAGTGATTTTGGGTAACAGTTTAGGCTGTGATAATTGCCTGGTTCCAGTATAGTTTATTGAGTTCTCCAGCATAGTTAGAGGTCTGTATTAGCAGTAGGGAAGTTTGTCATCTGTTAGTCCATGAAAGGTAGTGACCAGGTTTCTGATGTCTAATTCTAGCCACCAGGTCATTCTTTGCTAGGTATTCACTAGGTCCTAAATTTTTACAGCATTCAGGGATATGTTACATAGTTCCTACCTTTTCCTTGTGTTAACCACTAAGTTTTGGCTCCTTAGGGATAACTTTTTTTTATGATAATTTTTTATAATAACTACATTTTATGGTGGCAATGACCTGTTTCTGAATTACCCTTGTAAACTCCTCCGTTTCCACAGACAAGTCTGTATGACAGGCATTTGTTCAATGCTTTTCTGTCAGCTTAGTTCATGTGGAAGACCCAGGGCCTTTTGATACCGTTCAGATATCTTAACCTGTTTCATAGACTTCATCAGGAAATAAGCCAGGTTTGGTTATATTCAACAAATCCAATGGCTTTTATCTGTTAACAGTCTTGACAGTTGCTCCATGAGATGATGTCTCCTTGTGCTAAAAGTATTTTTGTAGGTTTTTTTACTTACTATGAGTTCTGAGAATGTCTTTCAATTCTCTTCCTCCTTTTTGAAAAGGAAGTGTTCATTTTTCTATAACTGTCTTAGGGTGACAGACTCTGTGTATCATTAATATTGCATGGGCTTCTATTAGTTTGCTTTCCAAACCTGTTGTCTATTTTATAGTTCCAGACAGGTATTGTGTAAGTGTTAATTATTTTAAGCATGCTCTTCCCATTCAACTTTGCTTTCAGGATGCTTGTAAGTGTTTCAACATATTCTACTAGAGCCTTTTCCTTGATATCTTTATGCTCTATATCTCTTACCTATAAAGGACACATGTATTTGTAGGAATCACTTTCAGTGATTAGTTCAATATGACATCTGTATTCCAGCTCAAAACCTTCAGTCTCTGTATATCCTTTCCTTTGCAATGATCTATTTCACAACATTTTGATATCATTGGAGGAGAATTCTACAAGATGAAGGAGCTGATTAACGTTGGTTTTTTTAGAGCCATTTGTTTGATGTCATCCAGTTACATCAAGTGATTAATAAGATATTTTGGTCAATTCTCTCTTTAATTTGGAAGTCATAATTAGATTTATTTAGTAGAGTTGAAAATGAATTGAAGGCTAAGGAGAACCATGATGGACTTAAATTGTCTCCTGGAAAAGTGCTATGTTTTATATCCATTGTTCGGGACCTTATTTTGTTGACGAGTTAAAAATAGAGAATGGTTATCAAATATGATAAAGTTCTCATTAGACTTAGGACTATTTTATATATTTGCAACACATGAACAAGACATAAGTATGGAACTAAGAATGCTACAACACTTTCAGGGAGCTTACTCAACCACTTACTCAACCACTGCTGAGTCAATTAAAAAGTTGCTCTTTATACTCTTGGGCTTTTCCTCTTCAGTCAGGAGAAGGAGATGGCCTAACATCTTGAAATCAAGAGCCTTTGGAATAGCAATGCCCCCAACCCAGTATCAAGTTGTTCTCTCTCTCTCTGTATACATATATATGCATACATACATATACACACATGCATACACAGACAGCATTTACTGATCACCTATTATGTGCCAGGCACTATGTTAAGCACTAAGGATACAAAGAAAGGCAAAAGGTAGAGGAAGAACTAACAACTGGAAGTATCAGGAGAGACCTCTTAAAGGAGGTGGCACCTGAGCTTAAAGAGATCTAGAAGTCTCAAGAGGCAAAGCTAAGGAGCAAAAAGCCTTTCAAAAATTGTGGACAGCCTGTATAAAGGCGAGGAGATGACGCACACAGGGTAGTAAGCCATTGGGCTGGAGAGTAGAGTACGGACTTGAGGAAATGTGTAATTAGTCTGAAAAGATAGGCTGTTATAATGGAAGGAGAGAGTATAGTTGAATGGAGACTTTAGAAGAACAGGACGAATGTTGATGGGGTATGAGAATGGGGAGAGATGACCCAGGCTGATTCGGACTTGGTTTTTCAGAGTCTAAGTAGAACCATAAGGAAACGGATTATCATGTCCTTCCCAATATTAGCAATTGTGAAGTGGATTGATTCTTTCCTGAGGGAGGCGGGAGGGGCGTGTATGGGGGGCAGGGGCGGCAGAAGCCCATAGTAGCACTGCAGTAGTAAGGCGCTGCTGGTTCTGCCTAGGCCCTGGGGTCCCGGCGGGGTGCCTGGAAAGACATTAATGCAGTCTAACATCACACTAGCTTTTTGGGCAGCCGTGTCCCACTATTGATGTTTTGAGTTTGCAGTATTTTTATATCCCCAGATTTTCTCTCTCAACGAGGAATTGCAGTTTGGTTGTGTCTTCCCCATCCTGTAATTATACCCATGTTCATAACAAGCTATTTAAGCTCTATCAACCTCAATTTCCTTATTTGTAAATGGAGATAAGGACAATATTACCCACCTCATGAGGTCGGTACGAGGGTCAATTGAGACGATTTATATAAAGCATTTTTCAAACCTCATATAAATGCCAGCAATTGTTATTAACAAGAACCTAAGCGGTATTATGTTATTAACTATTTAATTATACCATAATGCACTTAGGTTATTGATCGCTAATTTATATAATGTCCACTTATGTTTTTAGTAATAACATAAGTGGATAGAGAGACAGCCTTGAAATCAGAACTGGATTCAAATCTTGCCCCTGACACCTATTGGTTGTGTGATCCTGGGTAAGTCACTGGACTTTCCAGTCCTCCACGCAACTCTCTCAGACTGTGAGCGGCAGAGAAGGTGCCAACCTGCATTGGTAGAAGGCATTCACCCACTGGTAGTTCCCTACGCCCATAAACCTGCAGGTCCAGTTCCTGTCCCTACTCCAATTTTCCTCCCTGAATGCTGATTCTGTACATAGTGGAACCAAATGCTACCTCAACAAGTGGAGATAAAGGAAGAAGAAAGGGGCATCAAATATCAAAATAAACTTCCTTGATACTGTGGGAATGGTTACGAGACTCATCAGAGCTTTTAGCCCCAGGAAGCCTGAAGAATACAATCATCAATCATTTGTCATGAGTGGCCTATGCTGTCGTCTCCAACATGCATTCAACAAACGTCCTCCTGGGAGGCAGGAGAGCTAGGTAGATACCCCACATGAGGCCACTTCCAGCTCTTTGATTCTCTGGGCTCTGACTGTACTGTATTTGAAAGACATTCACTGTTAAGTGGGTTTTTAGAGATGAAAAATCAGAGTGCGCATCCATCCCTTTTGAATGTATTTGCTTTGTCCTCCTTTGCAAGGAAGGCTGCGGGGGGGGGGGGGGGTGAATCACAGTGCTAGCACCAAGGGGACATTTGTTTAATTCCACGACAAGGCAGGAAGTCTGTACCCGCATCACGTATCCTGGGATGTCTATGAGAGGCTTCAGGCTGCATAACAGAGTTAAATGAGAAACAGTCAAAATGCTAAGGAAGTGGGGGAGGTAAACTGTGACAATGAAAAAGCAAAACAAGTTTTGTGTTTTTTCTTACTTATAATGAAATCAATTGTCTCTTGTAATTAGTTTAGTACTATTGCTCTCACCTGAGCTGCACTGCTCTTTCCATACTGTACTTTTTTTTTTTTAAACTTATGAATGTTGGCACGCAGAGGTTCTCATCAAGTAATATTCTGGTATCATTCTGACTTCCAATTTTCCAAAACACACGAGGTTCTTTTGACCTTACTGATCAGTCATTTTCTACCCCTTCAGAAACCCAAAATGCAAATTTTATAAATTGTGACTAGCTCTCAGGTCAAAGAAATGATATTTAGACATGAGAAACAACAATAATAACAGCAGAAAAAACATCCCTAATGGATACTGACTCAGGAGATTAGAGATCTGTTCAGAGCTCTGCCACTGACTAGCTAGGTGACCTTCATCAAGTCACTTAAATTGTCTAAGTCCTAATTTCCTCATCGGTAAAATGAGATGATAGCAGTGATGGAGCAAATGATGAGAAAACAGTACAGAGGGTTGTGCAGAGAGCAGGTGGTCAGTCAAAGATGGGGTAAGGTTAAGACTAGTTGTGCAAAAAGTGGCTCTGAAGGGGAAGAGAGAGATGAGATGGAAATGGGAAAGGTGAGAACAATCAAGAGAAGGCTTTAAAAAATAAGTTACCTGAACATGACTGTAGATAGCTGAGAAAGAAGTAGAGGAAAGAGAAAGTTGTACGCTGAATGAGCTAGAGGGGGTGATTACAGGACCAAGGTCCTAGAGGACAAGGAAGGGAGATAATCAACCAACTTAGACTTCAAAAACATGCACAAAAGTTGGAAGCAAAGAAAGGCAACAGAAGATGAATGCAAAATTAAGGACAGTGTCAGGAGTGCTAAAGATCAGAATGAGTTGAGGATGGCAAAGACAGCTAAGTAAGACAAAAAGCTGACTTTTTGTTCTTTTAGTTATTGTGTGGAAGAAAAGAGGATCAGAGAAGGGATAGGATGACTTCTCAGGGTAGATTGGGTATGGATAATAGGAAATTGAAGACGGAGCTATTTAACTTTTGATTTTGTACCCCTTTCCTCTACTAAGAACAGTAATTTTTGGACTAGAGGAGACAAATAGTAACTGATAGGGATTTAATAAAGATAAAAAAAAAATTAAGTGACAAACTGTACAAAAGCTAAGAAAACGGCAAGGTAAAGTATGTTAATGAAAAAAAAATCAAAGTTAAATAAAAGAACATCTGGCTGCCCTTGTTAAGTTCAAGCCATCAAGCCCAGATAAACCATTTCTGAGAGTTCTGCAAGGCCTGGCAGGTGCAATCGTTACATCATGGGTAGTGAATGGTATAAAATGGCATACATTGTAAGCAGGGTGATTGTTGTTCAGGGATGGATCAAAGGAGATGACATCTGCGGTCCCTTCAAATGAAGAAATTCTGTGATAGCATCACCGACCCAAGAAGAACCATTAGTTTTTGGAAGGAGCAGAGAAGCTCTGTCTTTTAAAACAGGAGAAGAAGGATGAAATGGGTGTAGATATTAAGAACTTTTGAGGTATAGAGGGGAAAGTTGAAGCAACTCGTTGAACCAAGAGTTTAGGTTGTCTGCTATGTGTTGGTTGTCAGTCCTTGATGAGAAAGGACAAAGTTTAAAATAGCCACTGCATGGAATGAGATTTGGAATCAACTAGAGCTAAATAGAAAGATTGCCTAGCAGCAGTGAGCTAATGTTATGCACCATAAGTTCATAGTGGGCAAAATCAGTATGACTTGCTTCAGTAGTATTCAAGGATGTGGGAATGAATGGGGAAATTGGATGGTGGGGCATTTATTGGTGGGGGAGAGGGGGGAGGATTAGCAAGCTTCAGTGGGCAAGAGGTTTTGGGGAGTATATGGGAATAGCAAGGGATTTTAGAACGGTGATTAAGTGGCAGTCTCATTTGTCAAAATCAGATAGGGAGGAGAGTGAAGTTTGAGTGGAAGACTAGGCAGGAGGGCAAGCAGAGGTCAAAGACCAAGCTTATTTTGAGCATGGCAGAGGGAGACTGGAAGGCTAGGTGACTGTGGTCTGAGTGAGAACACAATTCTAGATTTTGGGATCTCAATGGTGACACAGTTCCATGTGGCGAAGCCCAAGGATGGCTGAAGTACAGTGGAAACAGAGGGTGAAGTTCAGGAAGCTGAGGAGTGGGAGGTCAAAGGGTCTGAAAACTTCTCCATATATCACATACTGAAGTGACTAAGGACAATGGCAGTGGATAAAGAAAAGAGGAAGGCTCTTCGTCCAATGGGAGAGTGAGCTAGAGGTTGGCAGATGACAGCAGTCAAACAACAAGCACTTATTAAGAGGTAATGAGGAGAGAAATGGGGAAGCCTGATCAGATTGAATGAATCTGAATGTCAAAAGATCAAAAATTACTGAAGTATGGGAGCAGGCCATTGGTCTGGAGAGAGAGCGAGGGGCATCTGCATCCTTCTCCTTGGCAATGCAAGACAAGGGTGAATAAGAGATGCAATAGCCGAAAACGGAGGAAGATTTGAGGATTGTAGAGACCCTTGGGTGAAGGTTCAATTTCAAATAAAATGAGGTGGAGGGAGTGTCAAAGAGCAGGTCCAAAGGAATGGAAAGTTTTGTTAAGAATAGAGAGAGAGTCCCAAAAGCCATATAGGTGGTTCTATGGGCTCTGAATGGAAGGGAAAGAAATGAAATGGGGCAAGAGAGGAGTAGCTCTGACCTGGATAGGACTGAAAGACTGTGGGGAGGTGGAAGTGATAAATAACATACACCTAGGCTGATAAAACTGGATGAAAAGGAATAGGAAATGAACAGGCATTTGAATCGCCTCTTCTTCCTCCCTTGCTTCTCTTCCCTTCTGTTCTTCTTCAATTCCTTTTCTTCAATTCTTTTCTTCCTTCAGGCTGAGCTATCTTTCTTATCTTTTGATTTTCTTCCAATTCTCCCAATTTCTATTCCCCAAATTTAGTCTCCAGGCTTGTTCACAAGTTCAATGCCCTCAAATTGTCTTCATGATTTCCTTCTCCTCATTCACCTTAAGTGTTTCCTTCTCTGGTCATTTTTGTCACGTAATTTTCTCCTTCAGAAGCTCACTTCCTTTTCCACTGGCCCCAGGAGACAGAATTAGGACCAGTGGGTAGAAATAGCAAAGAGGCAAATTTAGTCTTGAAGTCAGGAAAAACCAGTCTGGTGATTTGAGTTGTCCAAAAGTGGAATGGGCTGCCTTGGGCCAGGGGGGCTAAAAGTCTTCAGGCATAGAAGCCCGTCAACTGCTTGTCACTCCCCACCCCCCCAACAAATTGTAGTGGGGACTCTTTCACAAGGATGGTTTGGACTGAGTGCCAACTGCAGCATCCTATGATTTTCTGGGATTCTTTCCGTTTACAGATGAGCAAATTCCAGAGAAAAATGAAGTGACTCTACAGGAGGGGAGCTTTGGCATCAACTTCTTTATCTACGAGGGCTCTGGTTTGTCCTAAGCTGATAGGCTGCTGCCCGGTTTCTGGAGAAGAATTAGCTGCATTTGGGAGAGAGAGAGAAAGAAAACATGAAGAGTTAATAATGAATTATCTCAGGGTATGTCCCAAACTTTAGTCAATGTGCTAAGTGAGAGATTGCCCTTGATGGAGCAAGGCTGCTGGTAAGGAGGTAGAGAAAAGTCCCAAGAGTGAGTTGACCTGGGAGTGAAATCAGCATGCTGTGGGCCTTGCATTGAGAGTTAAGGACTCACCAATCCTGAAAGCAGGCTTTAGGATGGGTGGGGGGGTCTGCTAGTGAGAAGGAAGTCAAGTCTAGAGAGGGAGCTGAGCCAGAACTCTATTAAGTTCCCTCTCCTATGAAATGAAAAGCTTAAATTAGATGACCCCTAAGGCCCTTGCCAAATCTCTGATCTTGACTTTTTGATTAAAAAAAAAAGTCCATCATTCAAATTCTGTCTCTGAAACTTACTTCCTGGGCAACCTTGTGCTATTAAGCCAACTTAACCACCTTGGGGGAAAAGTTTCCTGCTGAGTAAAATGGAGGAGCTAGATTCAGCCACTAAGGTCTCTTTGAACTCTGTAGCTTGAAGTCCTTATTGCTAGAACCCAATGATCTTATCATTCTATAGAATAGGAAGTCAGGATTAAAAATTTAGAGCTGGAAAAGACCTTTCAGGTTATCTAATCCAAACCCCTCATTTTAAAGGTGAGGAAACTGAGGCAGATGGAGGTTAAGTGACTTACCCAAGGTCATATAGCCAGGAAGTGGCAAAGGCAGGATTTAAACCCAGGTCCTTTGACTCTAAATGCAGGACTCTATCCACTGCACCACACTGCCCCTTTAGTTGGAACAATCAGCTTTGTTTTGAAGAACTTAAAGTCTTGTTTTTTTTTTTCCTGATTGAGTGAGTTTCACTATTTGGAATAACATCATCCAAAAATTATTTCTGGTTCCAACATCATGAAAATGGAGGCCAATTATTCCAACCTGAGCTGACTTTTTAAAGGGTGTTTCTTATTCTGCCATTTACCAGGGAAGAGCTAAGTCTCCTTTTCTTTCTCTTCCTGGTCCTTCTCATCCTTCTCTTGCCACCTTTGCTTGACCCTTGAATGGTACCTAAGGTCCATAATCTGGATTGTGCCATTTTCTGGTTCAGTTACATGCAGTTCAGCTGGATGGCCTGTTGCCGCCGCTGCTGCTGCTTCAGACAAAACTAAGACCAGTTTTCCACAAAGCAAAGCAGACAGTAGAAGCAATTCTCCAGATGGCTGCCTCCGCTCTGAACAATGAAGCCTCATTTATTTAGCCTCACTCAAGAACAGGAGATTTTACACAAGTGAGTTTTCAAAGTAGCTAAATTCTTTTAAGACGCAGAACTTGGTTTTAACTTCTAATATCAACTTTCTTTCTAAAATCGATTACACACTTCCCTGGCTTCTCAAAACAAATACACATACACACACGTATAAATATGTGTATATACACACATATACACATACATATATAATGTATATATACACATGTACATATATATATACATATATATACACATATACATACACATATATTTATATATGTAATGCAATCCAGCCTGTTCTTGATGACTGAGGACCACCTACATGATCTCTCTCCTCATTCAACTTATACGGCCTTCCTTCTCCAGTCACTTCTGTCACATACTTTGTTCTCCTTCAGAATCTGGAAGTAGGGCTCCTGCTAGACTGATATAGGTATGGAAGGAGCCTTGGGCTTGAAGTCAGCAGATCTGGGCATGAATCCTGCCTCAGACAATTGCTGCTTGATCATGAGAAAGTCACTCAACCTCATTAAAGCCTTAATTTTTATTTTGTCTCTACAATGGAGTAAGCATACTTTCATCACTTACCTTGTTGTTAATATTGTGAGGAGCATCTTTAGATGAACTTTAGAGGTCAGCTAGCCCAACCCCCTCAAAACTGAGGCATTGAGAGGGGAAGTGATTTGCTTCAAGGTTCCTCAGGTCCTTTGACTAGGAATCCAGCATTCATTCCCTTGTACCATGCCTTCTGCTAAGGATATGTGATTTTTGTTGCTGTGGGAATTCTGTCTAGCCACTGCAATCCATTAACAACTGAATAGATTCAATTTAATTCAATAAACATTTATTAAGCACCTATTATGTGCCAGGAACTGCGCAAAATGTTGGGGATTCAAAAAGAGGCGAAAGACAGTCCCTACCTTCCTGGAGCTTACAATATAACCATCGAGCTTGCAGGTCTTAGAGAGGTGCTTGGGGCTCAGAGCGGATTTGGTGACTCATTGACCTTCACACAGCTGCTAAGTATGAAAGGCAGCACTCTTTCCTACCTAGGTGTTCTGCTGCTAAGTCTAGCATTCTACTTGCCATAAGACCATGGTGACTCTCTTGTTGGGGTGCTCATTCAATAGCATTATGGTTTTTAAGTACTTGCCTTTTATAGTTTTTTTGTCTTCACCCTTTCAGTTAGACTGTCAGTTGTTGCTTGGAACATAGGTACAGGCAGGGCAGATGGTCGGATGCCCCACTTGATCAGATGCTAGTATGGTGATGGTTGGTGGGATGGATTGTGAAGTGAAGGCGTGGTGTTATGTTGGAATCAGATACAGTGGTTAAGGGGAGTTTTCACTACCCCACCAGTCATGACCTCTTAGTTCCAAATTATGTGAGTCCCAAATATGGTGGGAGTGAAAGGTAGCAATGGTTTTTGAAAGTCTAGGTCTAGAGGAGAGAGGGAGAGGCAGTGGAAATAGTTATAACAAGATACCCATGCTAGGTACGCCCAAGTGTCCTGTGACTAGCTGGTTGGGGTCTGAATTATGGTCTGAGGATAGGTAGATATAGGGAGTTAGGTAAATTTTCAATTTACACCAACAAGCCTAGTACAAAGAAAAGGTGGGTGGTGAAGCCACTAACAACATAGGCTTCATATAGTGGTGGCAACTGAGTTGACCCTTGAGGGAAGCCAAGGGTTCTGAGAGAGAAAAGGAATGAGTATGTTCCTAGAATGGAATGCATAAAGGTAGCAGATGTAGCCTCAAGTTAAGGAAACACCTTCAGCTCACTTTGACTAGAGAATAAAGTATAAGAAGGAAAGAAGGGAACAAGCATTTATAAGTTATCCACTATGTGCCAGGAACTGTGTTAAGCATTTGTGAATATCATCTCATTTGGTTGCCACAACAACCCTGGGAGGTAGGTGCTGTTATTATTCCCATTTTACAGATAAGTACCTTTGCCCAGGGTCAGCCAGCTACTAATTGTCTCAGGCAGAATTTGAACTTAGATTTTCCCAAATAGAAAAATGAATTATGAGTGTGAAAAATGAGTGTAGGTCTTACATGGTAGAGGGTCTTAAATGCCAGCGTATGAATGTAGTATTTTAGACTATACAGAATTGGATGGTTTCTGAGCAAGAGAGTTAACATTTCATGAAAATTAATTTGATAGTCATGTAGAAGATGGATTGGAGGGAGACGGGAGACACTGGAAGCAGGAAGACCAGTAAGTAGATTATTATGGTTGTCGAGGAGAGAACTGATGAAGTAGAGGGGTGCTGTAGGGAAGAAGAGGGAAGATGTTTCAGATGGTATTGACAGGACATGGTGAGTGATTGGCTATGAGGCATGAGGCAGTGGGGAGGAGTCAAAGATGACTCTGGTGTTGCAGAACTTAGTGGCTGGGAGGATGATGGCACCCTTAACAGAAACAAGAAAATTTGGAGTAGGGGGAAGGTTTATAGCAGAAGGTAATGAATTTGGTTTTGTATAAATTAAGTTTGAGGTGGCTATGGGACAACCAAGAAGAGATATCCAGCAGGCATTTGACAATGTGTGAGTGAAGTTTAAGAGAGTTGGATGTATCAATTTGGGAGTAATCAGTGCAGAGATGGCGCTGAACCCATGGAAGCGGCTGAGATCATTAATAGAGAGGATGAGGAGAGAAGAACCATAACCATTTAGAACCAGGCAGATGTAGTTTGAAAATAAAAACCATTGTATTTTTACAGTATCAGAAAAATTCAAAATTTGTGGAAGAACATTATGCATAAGGATAATCTTATTTATTTCCAGGAAGTAGTTGGGATAAATTGCAGATTTCTAAGAACTGTGATTTCAAATGAAGTATTCTGCTGCTTCACGCTGCCCTCCCCTCTTTTTCCTCTGCTGCTTGCTGAATTTCAGTCACTCTCCCCTCTGTCCTGCCTATTAGTCTTGGCAGGTGCTCTCTACAAGAGGGAAAGATCAGAGGCAGCAGAAGATTCCGCTGGACTGGATTGTTGATATTGGGCCAGATGTTCATGCCTTGTACTTCTAGGGGAATCACCCATATCAAACGTCAGGAACTGAGGGGCTGAAAGGTCAGTATGTGTAATGCAGGATTATTGGTCTGGCAAATGGAACAGGCCCTCCTGAGAACTCACCTGGTGATTACCTGCTTCTCCCGGCTGACCCTCAATCAGAACGGACTACTCTGGTTTCTTTGATTTCTAGCTCATCAGACAGTTTATTTTATTTTTAACTTTAAACATTTTTTGGTCTAGACTTGTAACTTCATCAGTGTAGGAAGCTTCTGGCAAGGACTCTGATCTATAAATGTAGGTCAGCACCTGTTCTGCAGTTTATAATCTTGGAGACTTGACTGGGTCATGGAGGGGTTAGGTGACTTGCTTAGGGTCACACAACTAATATGTGTCAGAGGTGATTATTTGAGCTTACATTTTAGTGCCAAACCCAGTGTCTCCCCTTTCTGAATAAAGCTAAACTCTTCATTACTTTTCCCCCTTTGAGTTAGATTTAAGACACTTTCAGATCCTAGTCTTAATGTTCACATTGGCAAGCCCACCGTAATTACCCATCAGAAATTAAAATACCCATTTCAGGACAGACCAGACTTACCAATTACAGATTTGAGAGGAAGTGCTTAAAGGATCTTAGCAGCAAAGGAAAACTGGATGCATCCATCATCACGGGCTGGAATGGAGAACCGGGTGCTATGCTAGGTATAGGAAAATATTATTTTCCTTTAAATATATATGGCTATTGTTTTGCTTTCTATGAGTTACACAGACGACCTGGAATATATTTCTGCTGATGGAGCTGAAATATATGCAGTGATTTATAAACAAAGATGGACTGCTCTCCCCAAATCAGTAAGACACACCACTGGAGATGTTTGAGACAATAGGAAGAGTAGATTATGGGAACAGTAGATGAACCATCTATTCTTTCTTCTATGTCCACTGGTGACCTTAGGCAGCATTCTACCAATGCATATTGATTGAGCATCCACTGTTCTAGGAAGAGTGGGGAATGCAAATTAGTATCAGTCCCTGACCTTGAAAACCTTACAATCTAATGGAAAAATGAAACACAAACCTGAGAAATGTCAAATACAAATGCATGTGATTGTAGAGAGGTTGGTTAGGGAGACACACACACACACACACACACACACACACACACACATACACACACACACACACACAATTGAGAAAACCCAGGATGTAATCACAGAAAGTAAGGGAAAGATAATGATGTGTTTGTTGGACTAGCTATAAAGACATGGCCATGCCCTATCATATACCTTTATGAAGAGGGAAAGAGTTTTCCTTGCTTTCATTAGAAGAGGCAATTTGCTATTAAGCAGGAAAAGACTGGCCATGACCTTTGATGGTACTTTAGAAGCTATGTTGTCAGTCCATACAAGAGCTAGCAGTTGATCAAGAGATATTCTTTCCAAACAGATGTGGACCCAGAGAAGCAGTTATCAGGTTAGGGAAGAGGCAGCTTCAAGGGTATGAATGACCTCTGGTAGCTAAGACAAGAGGCATTCAAGGAAGAACTAGCCCTGAAAATGCAGTGTTGAATTTTAAAGAGGGGCAGACCCTGGGAGCCTAACTGGCCAACTTTCAGAGTGAAGATACTGTGTGGGCACAGGAGGGGTGTATGTGTGTGCAATGTAGGGACTTTATTGGAGGAACAAGTAAGTACATTAAGGGTCTGAAGTCCTAGAGACCTCAGTCACATGTGATTCATTAACAGTGTACTCTAAACTTTTGTCTACTCTTTCTACTGACTGTGTGTATGTATCTGTAGATCAGTGGCCTTTAGGTTTATGGAAGAAATGCTTTGGAGCTACAGGTTTTACAAGACCATTCCAGTAAATGCCTTTTCTCTGAGCTAATTTTATCTACTGGCTGATTATTAAGGGTATACCCACCAGTGGGGACTCATGAGCTACAGTTTTACGAATGTAGACCCATGGGGTATATTAGATCTATATTAGTACCTGCTCTGTGGGGAAGTAGCCCAGAGTGGGTGCTACGTGATAAATAACAGTTCAATAGAATGATATCAGTTGCCACAAGGCAGACCGTAATTAACTGTCAAATGAAAACTGGAGTTCAGAGGAAGGAGAGTTAATGGTAGGCTGGAATATCCTGGAAAGTTTCACAGATCATATATATATATCTATATCTATATCTATATCTATCTATATATATCTCCATATATATATTCATTTATTTACTTGCTTATTTATTTATTTATTTAAAATAGTCAGAATTTGGAAGGATGCAGGAGTAAGGGGAGAACATGCTAGGTCTGGAGATATAATTAAATGAGCATTGACCCATTTGAATGACCATTAACAAATCATTTGGCTGTAGTGGACATTCTGGGATTCAAGGAGTGGTAAGAGACAAATCCACATTAGGGCCAGCTTTGAGGGGCCTTATGTTGAAAAGTTTGAAGCTTATTCCACAGGGCTCATCTAGGCAATAAGTAGCCACTAAATAAAGGTTTTTGAGTTAGGAAATGACATACTCAGAAAACTTGCTAAGAACAAGAGTTCAGCAGTGGTTTTCAGAATAAATTGGAGGTTGGAGTTCAATCATGAGATAACTAGAAAGTTGGTTGATTGTTGTCCTTCATGCTTGATGAGGACCAAAATGACATCACTAGGGTCAAGGTACAATGAGTCTAGCTGTGGCTGATCAGACCAATAGAAGATTAAAAAGCTCTACCACAGGTTGGGCACAACTAGTCCACATGAACATTTGAAGGGGAAATGTCTCTAAATTTATGCATCTCTCATTTCTTTTGAGCTGCTGCAATTCTGCTTTGCTCATGGAATCTTCTTTGATGTGGGCCTGCCATGCTGAGTGGTCCTAAGCCCGTGTCTTCCATGTCTCACAACTGATTCCAAAGTTCTTCAGAGAGACCTCAAGAGTGTCCTTATATCTCTTCTTTTGACCACTATATGAGCACTTGCCTTGTGTAGGTTCTCTGCAAATAGTCATTTGGGCAAATGTATGTTTGGCATTTAAACAACATGGTCAGCCTGATGGAGTTGTAATCTCTGCAACAGAGTTTGAATGCTTGGCACTTTAGCTCAAGAAGGGATCTCAGTGTCTGGTACCTTATCTTGCCAGGTAATCTTCATAATCTTCCTAAGATGATTCAAATGTAAGCAATTCAGTTTCTTGGCATGGAGCTGGTAGGCTGTCCAGGTTTCACAGGCATACAACAATGAGGTTGGCATAATGGCTGTGTAGACCTTCAGTGTGGTAGGCAGCTTAATACCTCTTCTTTCCAACATTTTGCTTCAGTGCCTCTCAAATGCTGAGCTAGCTCTGGCAATGCATATATCAATCTCATTATCAATACGTACATCCCTGAAAAGTATACTGCCAAGATAAGTGAACTTATCCACAGCATTCAACATTTCTCCATTTGTTGTAACCAATGGTTACATGCATGGATGGTGCGGTGCTGGCTAGTGGAGAACCTCTGTTTTCTTGGCGTTAACAGTCACGCCAAAATTAGCACAAGTGGTAGAGAATCAATCTATACTCTGTTGCATCTCAGCTTCAGAGGCTAGAAAGGAGGGAGGTGAAAGTGGTTAAGGCCCATCTCAATGTAAGTCTTGCTCCACACAGGTGTTACTGGCCTCTCCAGGAAACAGACTCATTGAAGGGCCACCACATTTTTTTGGATTACATCCTTTACTCAGCAGTTCTTTGTAGTCCTTTGCTTGTAACATGTTGCAGCCTGCTTACATTGGTAATGAGCTTTTCTGTTGTCCTCTGGGTTACAGTCATTTTTAATTACTGGAGCCTATAGGGTTTGCAGTATTGTTCCTGTGTTACAGATGAAAAAATTGAGAGTTAAGGAAGAAAAAACATTTGCTGAGCACCACAGAGTGAGGCAGTTAATAAGTATTTATTAAACTCCTAACACATGCCAGGCACTGTGCTAAGACCGTTCCTGCCCTCAAAGAACTCATAATTGAATGGGGTAAGACAACACAAAAATCAATTTGAAAATGAGGGGGAAAGTGAGGAAGAAGGCACCTTGTGAGGGGGAATGATGGAGAAATCAAAAGGAGTGTAGCCAGGTGGGAAATGAAGAAATAGCTGTCCTGGGTGTCCCTCCTTAAATGGAGGCTTTGATCCACCCTTCAGTCAGAGGAGCAGAGAGTACTGAATGTACCAGTGAGACTGAGGACTAAGGTTGATGCAATATTGCAGGACAATGAGGTATCTGTGAGGGTCATATTCCTAGGATTCAAACAAGGTCTCATGATTCCAAGTCTAGAAAGATAGATAGAGAGATGACACACTGATAGGTGATACATAGACAGACAGACAGATAGACAGATAGATAGATAGATAGATAGATAGATAGATAGATAGATAGATAGATAGATAGATAGATAGAATATTTACTCAGTTCTTATTCTGTGTCAAGCATTGTGTTACGCACAGGTGATACAAATATAAGCGAGACAAATCAGTCCTTGTCCTCAATAAGTTTAAATTCTAATGATAGAAGGCAAGGCATATGGGGTGTTGGAAACTGGAGAGGGGTTGGGAAAGGGGCAATGTAATAGGCAAGGAAGAGGATGTTAAATTCTAAGAGAGCTGAGGTGAGAGTGAAGTGAAGCAAAGCTGGGTTCCTTCCTCCAAATGGTTGTCCTAGGGATAAGGAGAAGAGGCTTTGACGGTGTCCCACTCTCTAACGAGGATTTAGGAGGAGACAGCCCCATTGTATTCTGCCCTGGTCAGACACATATGGAATATTTAGTTCGGTGCTAGGTGTCATAATTTGGGAAGAACAGTTGTTCTGGAGGCCATCCAAAGGGGGGTGAGTAAGATGGTTTGCAGTGTCTCAAGATCATGCCATATAAGGACTGACTGAAACAACTGGTGATGTTTTAGCCTGGAGAGGAGAAGATAGGAGAGCTGTTTTCATGGATCTGAAGGGTTGTCATATGGAAGAGGGATTAAGGCTTGCTGTGCATTTTGCCAGGGGAAGAGGAGCAGGTTCAGGCTTGAAATGAAGACAAACCTTACAATGAATGCTATCCCTTAGTGGAACAGGCTACTTGGGGATGCAGTGTGGTTCCTGCTTGTGGGCTATTTTCTGGCAAAGGCTTGATCCATTTGTCATATAGGCTGTAGATGATTTTCCTTTTCAGGTACAGGTTGGATGAGATGGCCTGGGTGAGGTCCCTCTCAACTCAGAGATTGTGAATCTGGGTTTTTTTTTTTCTCCCAGAAGATCTCCAAGCATTAGATCAAACTAGGGATTGTTTTTAAAATTGAGATCTTCCATACTGACAAACTTCAGGAAAGTTCACCAAACTAAAAACCTTAATCACTCCCATATACTTATTTTGTGCTATACCCAATGCCTGTTGGCCTTCTGTTGTCATTCCAAGAACTGAGGGGTGGTAGTCCATGGTAAGGTTGGGTTAAGGTAATAATTATTGAACAGGTACTGCTTTATCACTCAGATTGCTCATGGTTTCTCTTCCCAGGTAGTTTTCATTTCTTTAGGAATCAGGCCAGGGTCCTTCAGATGGATGATTTCCTACTGTCTCCTTATCTTTGTCATCTTTTTCTTTTCTTTTTTTTAAACAGCATTTGGTATATCCTATGTCCTTGGCACAGGGCCATTTGCTGGGACTTTTCTATCCTTCGTGCCCTAAAGATATAAACTCCTGATATATTCATCACGTGGCAGAAGGGTCATTTGGAATGAAGGGCCTAAGTAATCTCAATTCCAACAAGCTAGTGGGGCCCAACGTACCTCCCAAGAAGGAACATGCTATGAAGAGAAACTGACTTGTACTTCCTCCATTTCTGACACTCATCTCTGCTGGAGCGGCTACACACCCCTGCAACAGGACTTCAAGGCTAGCGTATCCTTGGAATAAATCTATCTTAATGATCACTATGAAGGGCCTGTGTTTGTTTTCCTCCCACTTTCTGAAACACCTTCGACTCACTAATGTCCTCACTGCTGGTCTGAGGGCTAATGCACAAGGTTACCAGTGATAAGCCACAGATCAGATTAATCGCTTGTAGACATTTAAGAATTGCTTATATTAATAAAGCCCATTTTTGGTATGTTTATGAGTGGCTTTTCATTTGGTGAGTGTCAGAGTACAATCTCTGATGTAGGCCAATGAGAACCTGATTTTTGTTGTTTAGTTATTTACAGTGGTGTCCGACATTTTGTGACCCCATTTGGGATTTTCTTGGCAAAGATACTGGAGCAGAGTGCCATTTCCTTTTCCAGCTCATTTTACCGATGAGGAAACTGAGGCAAACAGGGTGAAGTGACTTGCCCAGAGAATCTGATATCCAGCTTAAAAATCCTCCCACTTATCCTGTGAGATAAGACAAGACAGCATCTTTGACAGTACCAAATAGAAAGTCTCTACTTTATTCATATGTATACCTATATATAGAGATATACAGACATATGTATGTGCCCTTTTAAAAAAGTGTTTCTCTGGGTTAGCAGTAAGAGTAACAGTTATAAAGCCAATTTTCTTCTCTCTTTTATTTCTTCACATTTCTACTCAAGAGGAAGTTTAGGAAAAATCAATTTAATATGGACAAATATATAAGACCTTTCCTGTTTTGACTTGGGTGACATTCTATTCCATACATCACAATTGTTCTCTTTCTTGTCTAGGATACTTCCATGGGGGCTCATGCTGTAACAAATGGAAAACCTCTGATTTGTTACAGAAGAGACCTAGTTAGTGGGATAGAGGAAGTTTTTGCTTAATCCTACTACAGCCACTCTTGTGTAAATATGGACATTTAATTTGTTTTTCAGAGTAGCTACTATATTTAGGAAATCCTTGACAAATCCTCCGGCTAGTCAAGTGATGACCAGATAAAAATGAAATGGGAAAAAGGCAAAGCATGCAAAGTCTGTCATTCAACACATTAGCACAAGTGTGTTAGTTGCTGAGCACAAGTAATATTTTCTTACCATAGCGATGGCCCATCCAAGACTGAAAAGGATCTTGTGCACTCATTGATGTAAGTTTTCCTGCCATGGGCACAGAGAGAAATCCAGTGATCAATTATTATCAAATTATGATCAAAATTATGATCAAAATTATAATGTTATAGAAATGCTTGTCTTATTTCATAAGTTAAAAAATAAATTAAGTTTAAAAATATGATCAAAGGATGATAAAGCTAAAGGAGGAAGGGACATCAGAGTCTATCTATCTAGTCCAACCCTTTCATATTACAGGTGAAGAAACTGAGGCACAGAGAGATTTACATGATTTACCCAATATCAGGCAGATAGTAAGGTTCAGAAGGAAGATGTGAACCCTACTGCTCTAACTATACAATTTGCTTTGAAAGCAGATGTGGGATTTCATCAGTATAGAAAGTTCCTGGTTAGAAATTCCCTCTACCAATCTATTTACCTTTTCTATAACTTACAGTCTAAAGAGAATGACATGGGGGCAACTGAGAGGTTTAGTGACTTTCCCAGGGTCATGAGAATCCTGGTCTTCTTGATGCCAAGATCATGCATGATATTTATTATTATTATTATTATTATTATTAATTTTTAAAAAATATATATCTTTTCAAGTTTTATTTTGAAAACTTTCTTCAAAATCTCCTTCTTGGAGGAAGCTTTTCAATAGTTGATTGCAGGGATAAAGGCTTTTTCCTTCCCCAATTTCCTTTCTGGTTTTGGGCCTTTCTTATTGTATTTGTGATTTGTTAGATTTGAGTGGTGTATTTTTCTGAGGAGAAGCTTCTCAAGGAATTTCTCTGTTTTGAGCATTAAAGAGGGCCAGAAGCTTTGGGTTTGATGTTGAAAGTGATTTAGGGGGAGGATACAACTGACTCCACTGTTGTTCTATTTTCACCCAATGGAATCAGTTATGTCCTACCCAAATCCACTTTCTACGAGAACCAGTGATTAAGGGCAGGAGCTAACAGCAAGAAGCAGCTAGGTGGTGCCATGGTGCACAGAGTGAAGGGCCTGAAGTCAGGAAAGCTCATCTTCCTGAGTTTAAATCCAGCCTCAGACACTTACCAGCTGTGTGACCCTGGGCAAGTCACTTAACTCCGTTTGCCTCAGTTTCCTCACCTATAAAATGAGCTAGAGAAGGAAATGGCAAACCACTCTAGTATCTCTGCCAAGAACATCCCAAAATGTGGTCACAAAGAATTGGACACAACTGAAAACAACTAAACAACTAATTAAGGGCAATAGATCTGAATACCAAATCAGCCTCTTTTTTCCAACTCAACCAACCTATAGGAAGTAGGTAAAATTCTGTTCGATTTGCAGAAACATGGAATTTGAGAGTTGGAAGACACCTTAGCTGCCATCTCTCTATATCCAAATGCTAACTTATCCAACAAGTGTCTGTCTGGCCCTTACTTAAAGATCTACAAAGAGAGGGGGAGAACTTCCCACTTTTCAACGCCACTTTGTCTTGCAGAGCTCTCATTGTAAGGAAGTTTCTCTTGACATTGAGCCTAAATTGGTCTGTTTGTAACTTCTATGGTACCACTGCTGGTTCTGACCTCGGAGACCAAATAACAAGTTTAATCTCTCTTCCACATGACAGTCCTTCAGGTACTTGAAGACAGCTGTCCTGTCGCTCTGAAACTGCTCTTCTCCAGGCTAAACACGTCCAGTTCTTTAAACTAGTCCTCATGTGACACTGACTCAAGACCCTTCACCATCCTAGCTGCCCTCCTCTGGACACTCTCCACCTTTTCAGTGATCTTCCTGAACCATGGCATCCAGAATTGAACACAATATTCCAGATTGGATTTAATGTGGGAAAATTATAATAGGGCTATAACCTTCCCTACCAAAAGCTATGCTTTTCAATGCAGCCTATGATTGCATTATTATTGTTATTATTATTAGGCAATAACATCAAGCTGCTCACATATATTGGGCATGCATCCAGTAAAATTCCCATATCTTTTTCAGAATAATTTACATCTAACAACCTCTGCACTCATCTCATGCTTCTGAAGTTGATTTTTTGCTATAAAATGTAAGATTTTATATGTATCTTTATTAATTTCATATTGATAACTGATTATTGGTTATTGATTCAGTCTAATGCTGTAGCCCAGTGGTGTCAAACTCAAATAGAAACCAGATCCTTATGAGTTACACATATTGTGATTGGAAAAATGACAAATTAGTATTATCTGTGCTGAATTATATTTTTATTTATTTTGTTAAACATTTCCCAATTACATTTTAATCTGGTTCAGGTAGCACTCAGCAGACTTGTGGGCTGCCGCATGAGGCCAACCCCAGATGCCTGGACTACTTCACTACAGACCTCCTGTTACATGGACATTGAAACAGTTATGACTACTTTTAGAATCTGGTCATCTAGACAGCTCTGAGCCCATCTCTTCATCTTATCTACAGGAATAGTTTGAGAAACTTCATCATACTAGCATTTGTTATGCATCAACTCCATCGTGGTACTAGCCATGGGACATACAAGGACAAAGATGAAACAATTCTCTGCTCTCAAGGAGCTTATATTCTCATGGAGGGTTACAACATGTACATAAATGAGCCTATGCAAGGTAATTTGAAAAGATTAAGAGTTTGAGCCCTGTAAAGATCAGAGAAAATTCTTGAAGGACATGGTACATGAGATAAGCCTTGAAGGTAGATAAGGAATCTGAGAGGCAGAAGTGAGGTGGGAATGCATTGTACCCACTGGGGACAGCCCAAGGATGGGAGATAGCATGGTGAGTCAGCTTGGTTGGAACACAAAATGCACACAAGGGAGTGATATGAAATAAGACTCATAGGCTAGGGCCAAATTGATGAAGGTTACAAATGTACTTTATCTTAGAGTCAACGGGGATCCACTAAAAAGTTTTGAGCAGAGTGACATATTCAGGTCTGTCCCATAAGAAGCTTTATTTTGGCAACCATGTGAAAGATGAATTGATGAAGGAAGAGACTGGTAGGAGATAGACCAATTAGGAGACCAATTGTTGAAATAGCCCAGGCAAGAGGTGATGAGGGTCTGACCTAAGGCATGGCTTATATAAGTGGAGAGAAGAGGATAGGGATATACATCAACATGATTTTGAATAGATTTGCTATGGATATTGGTGACAAGGAGGGATAAGTTGAGGATGCCAATGCCAAGACTGGAACCCTGGTTCATTGGAAAGGTGCTAATGCCTTCAACAGAGTGAGGTTTGGAGGCAGAATGGGTTTAGGGAGGAAGATAATATGTTCTAGGTATGTTGACTTTGAGACACAGATGAGACATACAGGTGGAGATGTTTAATAGGCAGCAATGTGAGATTGGAATTCAAGAAAGAGATGAGGGCTGTGTGTATGTATTATTATACAAACATATAATTATCATCAATCAATCAATCAACAAAATATATTAAGCACTTACTATGTACCAGGCACTGTGCTAAGTGTTGCAAAGACAAAAGCAGAAATAATCTCTGCCCTCAAAGAGTTTATATTCTAATGGAGAAGATGACATGTACATACATTGATGAATACAAGATAAATACAGAATATATGGAAGATGACCTTAGAAGATAAGATGCTAGGATCTGGGTAGACTGGGAAAGACCTTTCGCAGAAAGTAATACTTAAGCTGAGTCTCAGAGTGAGCCAGGGTTTTTGTAAGGTGGAGATCAGGTGGGAGACAAGTTAGCAAAGCACACTAAGACAGGGAAGTCAGACAAGAAGGAGAATCAGGTAGACTGAGTGTCACAAAAATCAAGGATGATGAGAGTATTTTGGAAAAAAGAGAAGTCAATAACTGTCAAAAGCTTCAGAGGGGAAGTTGGATTTAACAGACTTAACATTAAAGACCATTACCTGAAGGAAAGTAATTTCAGTAGAATGGTTGTTTAGGAAGCCAGATTGCAGGGGGAGAAATGAGTAGGTTGTGAGAAACTGAGGACAATAAGTGAAAGCAGTTAAATCCATGTGGGTAGAGTGCTAGACCTGAAATCAGGAAGATCTGAGTTTAAATCCTGCATTAGATACTTATTAGATATGTGACCCTGGGCAAATTACCTCTGCCTCAGTTTCCTCAATTATGAAATGGGGATAATAGTAATACCTAACTCTTAAGGTTGTTGTGAGGATATTTCTAAAGTGCTTTGCAAACTTTGAGATTCTATATAAATGCTAGCTACTCTACATTGCTTTTTTTAGGAGTCTGGTTGTGAAAGGAAGAAGAGATATAGGGCAAGAATTTGAGAGCATGGTATGGCTGAGGGTAAGACTGTTTTTTAGGATGGGGAAGGTTTGGATGTTTGTAGGCATAGGAGAAAGTTTCAGTATTTGAGAGATTGAAGATTACCTCAAATGACAGAGCTTATATGAGGAGGTACTCCTAGAGGAGATAGAAGGGGATTAGCTCAAGGGCACAAGTAAAGGCGATAGCAAAGGGGAAGGCCATCTCTGGTTCAGAGACTCAATCAAAGGAAAAGAGAATAGGGGATGATATAGAAGGGTTTGGGGATATTGAATGAAGAGAAGAGGGAGCTCATGCAGATGGCCTTTTTTTTTTTTTCAATAAAGTTGCTGAGAATGGTGACAGGTTGAGGGCTCAAGGAAAGAAAAGGTTTAGAACAGATGCCATGGGGGGTAAGACAAAGCCAGATCAGTGAAGAATAAAAGGATTGACATGAACAAGGTGGTTAGATAGAAAACTTGTAGGTTTCTCAGTGTTGTACACTTGTGACTTTCCCCATCAACAATTATGCTACATCAGAGTAAAAGTGTAGATGAATGGGGAGAGGGGGTGGGGGTGGTGGTAATTCAATCAATCAATAAACATTTATCAAACACCTACTATGTTCCAGGCATTGTGCTAAGCCCTGCTTGGGACGTGGCAAGTGTAAGCAGCAACAGGGCAAGATCTAATCATTCATATGAGTGGTTGAGATGCAACGAAGGCAGAGATCACAGTGGGTAAGAAGGCTGACAGACTAGGCAGCCAGGTTCATTGAGGAGATATTTACATTTATCATCAAATCCCCAGCTAAGAGGTGGGTGTTGGTGTGGAAAGGAAGATGGTGATACAGGTAATGAGTTTATTGAGGGAAAAAAGCGGGAGAATGACCTGAAAGCTGGTGGATAATGGCAAAAAGGATTTGGACGGGATAATACTGAATATTAAAAGAGAGAGGCTGATGAGTGATGGCAGCAGGGAAGTACATCCAGAAGCATGTCTATTTTACCTCCTTGCTCAGGGTGTCATGGGGCAAAAGGAGTGTACAGCACTGGAGGGGATAACTGGGGCTTCCAAAGGGAGCCAGGTTTCTGTGAGTACAAGATGGAATGACTGTGAGAAGAAGAGATTCAATATGAAGTGAAACATGTTAACAATTGAAGAGTGGTTCCAGAGAACACAACAGAAGGATAAAATAGAACAAAGAGTTGGAAGGGGGAGGGATAAGCTGTATGGGAAAACGTATGGAATGATAGCAAGAGAAAGGGATTTTTACTCCTACAGACCTGCAAGATAAAGGAAGGAAGAAGAAACAGTTGACTGAGGCTCCTAGCCTCCAGGGTCTTAGGATGATGGAGGGCGGTACCAATCTAGTCTATCCCCAAACATCAAGAAGAGTTGAATAAACTTACATTTGGCAACATTTTCCCTACCCTGAGTTGATGACATATGCCCAGAAGATACCCTACAGGTGGAGAACATGCTTGGCTCCTAATTAAGCTTGGCATCTGAAGCCTTGGTCTTGGAACAGGGTATGGTGGCAGAGTTGTTTGCTTTGGAAGGAGGGAAAACAATGAACTAAGTCAAATTTCTTTGTGTTAGTGTTCTATATTCTTAAGACCTCAGGCAGCTCACGGAACAGCTTGAACATAAGACTTCTCCAGGAATATAGACAACGTGGGACTACAGACACACCAACCAGCAACAAACCCCCTGGAGACATACTGCTTTCCCACAAAAAAAAAAATTGACTTAATTCATTGTTTCTCATCCTCCTAAAGCAAGTAACTCTGGCACAGCAATAGAATCAATCAGGATAATAAACACCAGGCTGTTTTCCAAGACCAAAGCCAGATGCCAAACCTACCATGATTTCTTGAAATATGATATTTAGATATCTTTTTTTGGGTCACACCTTTCAGGAAGTCCAATGATTGTTATGTTACCTCTTCTTGATGTGTTTTTTAGGTCAATTGATTTTACTATGAGATTCCTAACATTTTCTTATTTTTTTCAGTCTTTGGACTTTGTTTTCATATCTCTTGCTGTCTCATGGAGTCATAAGATTTTATTTATCCATTCTAATTTTCAGTGAGTTTGTTTCTAGGGTAAGGTTTTGTACTCTTGATCTAAGCTGTTAGCACTCTAAATCTTTCTTCAATTACTCATACCTTTATCCATTTTTGTAACAAGATACTTTTTTGGTTTGCTTATTTTTCCAGCTTCTTTCCTGAATTAAAATTTATTTTAGAACTGTGATTTTATCACCTCTAAGGAGAATGTCTGGGCAGAGCTTGTGTTCACTCAATCCTTCTGCTACCTTCTTGGGGTATTAGGTGTTATGTTATTTCAGAATCTCAAGGAAGACCCAGGTTAAGGACCCGTAAGCTTTCAGTGTTCCCAAAGTGGTTTGATCATCAGCAAAGTTTGGTCATTGCCCTTAGGGTCTGTGTTCTGCAAGTTTCTGACCTGCGTGTAGGTATGAGCAACACACCTGTGGCCTTGCCCCTGGTTGGAGTTCCAAACTGCTGCCAGCCAATCACCATTAGCTGATGTTGTCAGATGCCTTTGATAAGGATGAATAGGGCATCAAGGTTAGCTATTGCACTGATGGTAAATCATTTAACTTGAAACCGCTATAAGCCAAGACTAAAGTTGAGGGAGAGTTGGTGCACGATTATTTTGTTCTCAGATGATAGTGCACTCAATGCAGCCTCTGAGGCTGAGATGCAATAGAGTATGAATGGATTCTCTACCAGTGTGTTAATTTTGTCCTATTAACCCCAAGAAAACAGAGATTCTCTACCGGCCAGCACTGAACCATTCATACATGGAACCATTAGGTAAACCAAATGTAGAAATTTTGAATGCTGTGGATAAGTTCACTTACCTTGGCAGTATGCTTTCTAGGGATGTCCACATTGATAATGAGGCTGACATACGTATTGCCAGAGCTAGCTCAGTGTTTGGGAGGCTCTGAAGGAAAGTGTGGGAGAGAAGAGTGTATAGACTGCCTACCAAACTGAAGGTCTATAGAGCCATTGTGCTGAACTCATTGCTGTATGCCTGTGAAACCTGGACAGTATACCAGCACCATGCCTGGAAACTGAATCTCTTTCATTTGAATTATCTTAGAAAGATTTTGAAGATCACCTACCAGGATAAGGTATCAGACACTGAGATCCTTTCTTGAGCTAACCTGCCAAGCATTAAAACTCTGCTGCAGAGAGCGCAACTTCAGTGGGCTGGCTATATTGTTTGAATGCCAAACATATGTTTGCCTAAAAGATTATTTTACAAGGAACTCATGCACAGAAGATGCTCACATGGTAGTCAGAAGAAGTGATACAAGGAGACTCTCAAAGTCTCTCTGAAGAACTTTGGAACTGATTGCATGACATAGGAGATGCTAGCAAAGGACTGCTCAGCACAGCATGCCCGGATCAAAGAAGGTGCTTGTGCTCTGTGAACAAAGAAGAATTGCAGTAACTCAAAAGAAACACAAGATGTGCAAATTTAGACATCTTCACCCCAAATGTTCATATGGACTATTGGTGCCCAACCTGTGGTAGAGCCTTCTGAGCTCATGTTAGGCTAATCAGCCACAGTTTGACACACTGTACCTTGACTCTAACATAGTGATGGTCATTTTGGTCTCTTCAAGAATTGAAGGACAACCACCAACCTAGCCGCTAGAAAGCTCTGCAGGTTCAGAGCGACAGGACTATGGGCTCCCCTTAGGTCCGCAATTCCTGCTGTGGGTATTTCCCTGCAGGTTTCAGAATTGGCTGGAAGTTGCAACTGAGACCTCCCACCCCGGCCCCTGTTCCTAGGGACAGAGCCACCTAGCTACTGTTTGCTAGTAAACTTTCTCCTAGCTTAGTACTCACCCTACCGTTTGTGACAACTCCTTACTAAGAATGCTATTCCTAGGCATAGGTTCCTGCTTCAGTCTGCCCTGGATCTGTGACCAAGAACTGCATATTGATGAACAAAAGTGGTATTTAGCACACCTGTTCCTACAAACTGCTCAAGGCAAAGGACCCTCTGAAATGTGTCTGGGACTTCTTTCCCCGGTGCTCAGTGTGTTTTCAGTTCTTGCATATTGGAATGCTCTACAAGGTGCACCTTTGGCCAGATACCATTCCTAGTGTCTCCAGGCTTCTGTGTCTCCTTATAATGTCCTGGACTGCAAACATGACTCACAGGTTTCCATATATTTCTCATTCAAGACTGAGGTTGGTGCATTTTCTAGATCTTCATGGCAGCACTGTTCTGGAATGCTTGGCTATACTTCCTCCTGTTCCTCTTGACCTTGGCTCTGCCTCCCCAATGATCTCTTAATTCCCATCTCTAATGGCAGCAAAACTTAATCATCATCTTTCTTGACCTATCTGAGGCTTCTGAAAATGTTGAACACTCTTGGCCCTGACAAGCTTCAGACCTGGATTACTCCCAACATCCACTGCCTTTACTCTTACTCTCATGCTTTAGAATGCAGCTGGAGAAAATCTCAAAACTGACTGGACCCACTATAAAATTTCTGTTATGTGATCTCAATTGGAACCTCACTGCTCCAAGGGAATCCTTTTATTATACCTCCCTAATTGATTATCCTATCCCACTTACAATGGCTTTTCTACAACTTTTAGTCTCTCCTTAAACTTCCCATTGAAAAAATTAAGGCTATTCATTGAGGATTTCTTCTTCTCCCCTCCTCTTTATCTCACATCTCCCAGATGCCTTCTGCCACTATCTTTACCTTCATCCCTGTCTTACATGAAAGTGTGGTCCTTCTCCTTGCCAAGTCAAATCCCTCTACATGTACAAATGATTCAATTTCATCTGCTATATTGCCTCCAATATCCTCTACATGCTCTCATTTATCTCCTCTCTCTCCCTGTCTACTACTGGCTGTTTTCTTACTGCCTACAAACATGACCATGTTTCTCAGTCCTTGCAAAGCACTCACTTAATGCATCTATCCCTACTAGCTATCATTCCACGTTTCTCCTCCTCTTTATGGTTCAACTCCTTAAGAAGACCATCATAATTAGTGGCTCTACATCCATTCCTCTCATTCTTAACTTTCTACAGTCTGACTTCTGACCTCATCATTCAATTAAAGCTCCTCTCTTTAAATGCTAAATCTAATGGCCTTTTCCCAGTCCCCATTCTTTTTAACTTCTCTGTAGTCTGTGGCACCATTGATCACCCTCTCCTTAATACATTTTCCCCTCTAGGTTTTCAAGACACCACTTTCTCCTGGTCCTCATCCTACCTACTTGGCCACTCCTCAGTCTCCTTTGCTGGATCTTCATCCAGGTCATTCCCACTAACCATAGGTGTTTCACTGAACTCTGTACTGGATCATCTTCTTTTTCCTCTATAGTTGGTGATCTCATCACCTTCCATGAATTCAATATCATTTCTGTGCTGGTGATTCTCAAATCTGCTTAAGCTCTAACCTCTCTCCTTATCTCCAGTCTTACATCGTCAAGTCTCTCGCCTCATCTCTGCCTTCTTGCTTCCATCAAGGCCCAGCTAAAATCCCCTTCTACAAGAAGACTCTCTTGATCTTCCTTGATTCTAATGCCTTCCATCTGTTACTTATCTACACTTTATCCCATATATAGCCTATCGTACACTGTTGTTTGCATGTTGTCTCTTTCATTAGACTATGAGCATCTTAACGACAGAGACTATCTTCTGTTTTCTTTGTATGCCCAGCACTTATAATAGCGCCTGGCACATAGTAAGGGCTTAAAAATAAATATTTATTTACTCTCTTCTCCTAGAGACTTTCTCTTACCCACTCCTTACCTGTTCTCTCCTGGTTCTTCTTCCTATTTGATCATTCTTTCTCAGACTTCTTTGGATCACCCAGGTAATGCCTAGTAATGATGATTGTCCTCCAAGGTTCTATCCTGAGCCCTATTCTTTCTCCTGTAGATTCTCTTGCTTTGTGATTTCATCAATAAAAAGGGGTGAAACCATTGGAAAACGGATAAAGATTTGCTTCATCTGCAGCATTTCTCTTTAGTTCAAATACACCACAAAGATCTGTAGTTCTGGCTGGAATTTTCACATCTGCTACACTCAAGAATCTTTTCTCCAATACTAATTATCTGATAATCAACAAGTTTTATGCTTTAGCTAAAGAGTTTTCAGTTATGGAATACATTTTGAAGATTTTCTTCCCAAATGAATAACAAACCCCAATAAATATAAATATTTCAATATGCAAAGATCCCAAGACTGTACTGTATATGAAATTGTGAACTGCTCTTGTGCACAATTTTTGAACGTAGATATTGAATTTAACATGGTCATAATAAAACTGTCCTGTTTGTTGCCCATCATTATGAACAAATATGAGCAAAGTGTTTACTCAGGTGAAAAGCCTTCCTTCAATCATGACATCCATATTTCTTTTTAGTATGAATTCTCTGATGTTGAGTAAGCTGTGATCTTTGGTTAAAGGCTTCATCATATGAATTTCATTCATAAAATTTCTTATCAGTATGAATTCTCTGATTCAGAGTATCCACTGTGGGACTCTGCCAATTCTTTTTTAATAACCATTATCAAGAATCTCTTTGATTTAGGCATACATAGACCAGTAGTTCTTGATATTCCATCTGTCACTATTTTTTGGTCATAAGAAGATTTAAGATTATTTTCCATGATTTTATATCTTCCTTATCTTAAGATAGTGCGAAAATTGATCCCTTGATGCTGCTCTTATAATTATATTGCTTTCACATAAACTTCCTGTGTACGCTGGTGTATCAGTTACCTTTCCAATTTTTTCTCTCTTTAAGTGCCATTTATACTGCCTCCATAAGCATAAATAGGATTGTCATGTTAGAGTCTGAGTATGGCAGTTCCATTATATTTGGTGATAAAATTGATTTCTTATTAAAAAAAAAACAACTCCGCAGATCTTTTCCATCTTTTTTTGTTTATTGTTCTCCTTCCATCTTTATCCTTCAATGCTCTCCTGATGACTTTGCTTAGATGGATTTCTTTCCAAGCTTTCTTTAAACTAGTTCTTCTCTCCTTTACTGCTGTTGAGGTGACACTGCTCATAAAATTACACAATTTTTTCCAGAATATTAAAATTTTTTATTTTTTTTTTAATTAACAAAAAAAATCCCCTTTCACTTCTCCTCACCCCAAATTGTGGAAAAATGCCCTTTTAAACAAATATATATATAATCAAGCAAAACAAATTCCCTTACTAATCATGTCATACATACATATAGATATAGATACAGATATATGTATATATATAAATTCTTCATCATGAGTCCATCCATTATCAGGAAGTGGATACGTATACTTTATTACAAGAATCATAATCATGTCTGATAACTCATTGAACTGATCAGGATTTTCAGGTCTTTCACAATTGTTTGTGCTGTTGATACTGTAAAAATAGTTCTACTGATTCAGTTCACTTCAATTTGCGCTAGTTCATTTAAGTCTTCCCAGGTTTCTCTTAAATCATCCCTTTTATCATTTTGTATAGCACAAGAATATTCCATTACATTCATATATGAGAATTTATTTACCCATCCTCCAATTTATAGGCACCCCATTTACATAGTTTTTAGAACTTTGCTACTACAAAAAGAGTTGCTATGAATGTTTGTATATATATATATATATATATATATATATGTCATTTTCCTTTTTATTTGATCTATTTGAGATACAGGGTTAGTATTGGCATTGCTAAGAGAAAAAGTATGCATAATTATGTTTGGCTTCTGTCTTTCCTTATTCCTGATCAATTTTTTTTCATTGTCCTTATCTATTCCTAATTTTTCTTTGAATCAATGAGAATCACAGTATATGTTTATTTATTCTGGGGAGGGTAACTGGGTTCTTTCAAGAATTTCTCTTCATTATCATCCAACAAAACAGATATAGGATAACGTACAATTATATCAGTGTTTTTTTAAACTAATATTTAACATGAACACTGAACACAAGACAACTAAATGTTCCATGAATGTTTCTTGCTACCTTCGCATATATGATAAAATCAGTTCTGCTGATTCTTGATTTCCAAGGACAAACTTGTAACTTTCTTCTGCCTTCTGGTTTTATTTATGTGAGAATTTTAAGACTGACATAATTTAATTTCTGTATTTGTCCAGTAAAACTAACATAACACATCAACTATGTTGAGAATTATATGAAATAAGTTCTACCTCTAGTTCCCTCCTGGGACCAAACTCAGTCACTATAATCATACAGTGTTGAGTTCCTTCTTCCATTGTTGCAGTTACTGTATATGTTGTTTTCCTGATTTTGTTTACTTTACCGTGCATCAGTTCATATTCATCTCCAAATACTTCTCTGAATTCTTTCTTTTGTTACAATAATATTCCATTCATATTCATGTGCCAAAATGTTTAGCTATTTCCCAAGGGATGGACTCCTACAACAAAGTAGATTACTGTCTATGTTATACAAAACACAGATGCATGCATAACCCCTTGAGTTTAGTCTACTGTTATCTATAACTTTGACAGATACAGATGATAGACATGAACTGGATCCAAATGTGACTAAAAAAAATCAGTCTGAATCACATTTGGGCAATTAAACAATATACCCCAAGCTGTTCATTGCTACAGAAACCTATCAGACAGAAGGTAAGCTCCTTCAGGGTAAGGATTTTTTCATATTTGTATTCTTAAGATCTAGGACAGCGCCTGACACAGAATAGGCGTTTAAGACATGCTTTTTGGTTAATTTTTTTAAACACCAATATTCCATTATTGATGCTATATATCTACAAGTCATGGAATCAAAGCTGCAGCTGATCTAAAATGCAAAAGAATGGTATGTTGTAAGTGGACTGCATTTTGTTATCAACAACAAATTGCTTAAGAGTATATAGCTAGAGAAGGAGTTGAGACAATCATGTAACTACCATTTATTCAACATTTATTAATCATTTATGTGTACTTTACTAGGTTGCAAGGATACAAAGATAAAACATATACCTGGAATCCTGCATTAATGCCCTTAAAATACAAAAAAAAAAACCCCTCAAAAGAAGGCTTCTGGTGCATTGGCTATAAATCCTATGTAAAAGACTTCAAGAAATACATGGATGAAATTTTAAAAGATAAGGTGTCATGATCTACCCCAGTGAAAGAAGTCACCATACCAATATGATCAGGAATCCACTGAAATCTTACACTTTGTTTTAGACTCTATAGGTAATAATACCTGGACATTTTAGATGAGTTAACTTCTAATTGGCTGCTTCTTAATATGTCACTAATCATAAGGACTGTCAGATAAGTTTTAAGGTTTACAAAACCTCAACATAGTTTTAAAACTGGAAGGGAATTTGGAGGTCAATCATTACATGGACAGTAAATGTCTGAGCAGGATTTGAAATCAGCCCAATCCCCCATTATACTGTTTCCTATGCACTCCACCATGGCAACAGGCAGGCAACAAGTATTTATTAAGGGCTTACGACGTGCTAGACACCGTGCTAAGTGTTGCAGATATGAATACAAGAAAAAAAACCAGTCTTTTCCCTTGGGGAACTTATATTTAAATAGAAGAAGACAACACATGAAAGAGAGAAGAAAAGCTAGGACTGGAGTAGGAGAAAAGGTAACCTCTTGAAGGCACAGTGGTTCCCCAGAATCAGAACCATAAAAGCCTGGTCCTTCCTCTTCTCAAAATGGAAGCTCCCAGGGGGAGAACGTCACCACGTTACTTGTGAGATGGGTACTACTGGTGGGATTTCCCCCATTTTATAGGTAAAGAAGTTGAGACTGGGAGATTAAGTGAATCTGTCATTGTGACACAACTCATAAACATTGGTGGTGGAATTTGTAACTCAATTCCTTTTAACTTTAAGTTAATTATTATTATTTTTGTTTTTGTACCATTCTTTCTTAAGTTCTTTGGTCAATATCTCTCTAATGTTAGTTATCATGTATTGACAGCTGAGACCTGGCTTTGAATCCTTTGGTCCCTGGGAAAGCCTTTCATGTCTTCGGGCCTCAATTTTTCTTGTGTGTAAAATGAGGGACCAGATGACCACTACAGTCTTCTTTTGAGTCCAAGTCTATGCTCTCATTATCATATCCTCCTAGTAGATATCAGCTCCATGAGGGTAGAGAAAATAGTTTGTGTAAATTGTTTGACCTACTATAATGTCGTAGGCACACTAGGCACTTAATAAATGAATGTAATGGTACTAGAATCCTCTCTTCCTTGGACTGCGTTCCTGGGTTACCCTGGAATGAATATGAATTATATTTAGTCCAATGCAGTATTAGAATCCTTCTCTGAAGTCCTGCCACCTGAGGTCCAGCCTAGCATAGGTCAGAATGACTCATAACTGGAAGGTTGGCCACAGAGTGATTCTTTTTGCCAAAGCAACTACTGTAGCCACAGCTGCAGGATTCCTTCCCCCTCTTTCCTCATACTGTATCACTCTGCATCTCCCAAAAAGGGCTGCAGGAAATGCCACGTGATGCAGTATAAGCAAAGAGAGGGGAGGAATCCTGTGGATGTGGCCACTGTAGCATGGGATCCCATGATAATGAACCGGAAAGTGTGGGACATGTTTCACAGTCAAAATTCCCAATGGGCCTTGCCTTTTATATAATTCCTTGTGCTCTAATCCTCTTCTGAAAGTAATACAAGTAAAAAGCACGTCTTGCTTGTTTCCCTTTGGGATGTCTTGTGTGTCCGTGGTGAGCCAAAAGTCTGGTGATAAGTCACTCTGACCTTTCCTAGGCTGGTCCTCGGGTGGTGGCAGTACTTCAGGGGAGGATTCTGGTACTTAGTTTTACTATGCAAAATTCTCATGTGCTCCAAGGTAAGCTAGGAACTCATTTCAAG